ATATTTACGTATGTATATCTTTAAATCCAGCAGATAAGGTAGTATCTTCTGATAGAAGTGTAAAGTTTTGTGTGTGTTCCACTATATCTGGTGACCATCGTTTGAAGTGTTGATAACTTATTAAAAATAAGACGAACACTTCTCCACCCATAATGTGACTTTCATTATCTCTCTAAACAAACTGATTTTATGCATCCCAATTTTGAGTACAAACGTTTTCCGAAGCTTACAAATTGCAGGTTAGTAAACAGTAAAACGTTTCCATGACCAGAGCTTCAAGATCAGTAGATTTAAAAATGGTAATTTCAAGAATTGAAAACAATTATTTCCCGATACGAATTTAAAACAAGCAATAAAGGTTAATAAAGCAGGATTTAATGAATTCATCAAATTTCGGTAGAACTCGTCAGCTGAATACTCTACATACACGGATATATATACTTTTGAAATTACATTGAGAGATATAAAACTGATAAGTAAACAAACTACATTGAATTAGTCGTGCAGAAAGACACGTACGAATGTTTTCCAGGTCATGTTCAAATGGATAAGGGGAGAGAGAGTATGAGAGATCAAAATTAAGATAAATTTCATTACGCTTCAATTACATCACTTAGATAAACAATTAGACATTAGAGAATATAACAAGAATTGCAAACAGATTAATATCAATAGTAATAGTTATAATAACAATAATAATAGTCTTAAAGCGAGTTAAGGTAATCCTACTGATAAAGGATAGTTTTAAATGAATCAATAATAATAATAATGATAATAAGAGGTAGAATAATAAGTAAGACGTATTGCCATGGTAGATTCAGAGTCACGACCATCTCCTTTTGTACACAGAGACCTGGTTTATAAACTTGAATTGCACAAGCCTCTGTAGTTGCAAGCATATTCTTGTTTCTTTGTCTGGTGACAATAGTGAATGATTTGACCGCGTTGATGTCATGTAATTTCAGAAGTATATGTATCCATGTATGTAGAGTATTCAGCTGACGAGTTCTGGTGGAGTTTCTGGTGTAACCCAACCCTTACTCCTACAATTTGTTAACTTCCGTATTCTGCCTATTATTCTCTATTGTTCCCCCTTAGTCTTTCCTGAGCTATTGAAGAAAGACTATACCTTATTACGTAGGATTTTAAAGGTTGTCAGCAGGGTAAGCAGTATGCCACTTAGCCAGCTTGTTAATATTCTGGTGGACAGGCACATGGACTCATGTGAAAAATGGGTGAAAACCATTTTATCTGACTCACAACACCCTCTACATTCACAACTCTCCCCATGTATCTCTTCAGGGAAAACCAGAAGCCTATATAGGAAACTATATGCTCGCACTAGCAAGTACAAAAATTCAACTATACCCTACCTAGCTCAAGTTCTGTGCGATAAAGAAAGCATTAGGCGTGAAACCTTTAACTTCTTAAATAGTCAGTAGAACAAATGGATCTCGTCTTTCCAAGTCACATCATTTATAGGTACAACGTTTTCTCTCTACCTTTTTTTGTTATGTGTTGTTTTGTTTCTCTTTTCCTTGCAAACTCTACTTAAAACATTCTTGTTCGTTCTTTCACACTCTGTATACCTCGACCATTTTGCTATCGCTTACGCCAGTAAATATGCTAGTAGTATGTACTTTTCTAACACCTTCAAACACTCTGTTTAAATTTTGACTTTGCTACCGACATGCTAATATGTTTTTGTCAAAACTGACTGAGATAACCTTAATCTATGTAGAACTATATTTATTGTTAATGTACTAACTGGATGCAATATTGTAGTAAAATGCTGAGAATTCCATTCTGTATCACAAGTACTGATTTGGAATAAAGCTTATCTTATCTTACCGAAATTTGATGAATTCATTGAATCCTGCTTTATTAAGCTTTATCGCTTGTTTTAAATGGTAATTTCATTCCACATACTTGGAAGTCTTCCTTTTGGTTCGTGTATATAATCTTCAGGTTAAATAATAGTAATGATAATAATAATGAACAATAATTGAAGAAATATCGTTCGAATTCAGTTATACTCTCTTAAAAACAGTGCATAGGAGTAGTTTGAAAGCTCTTTAAAAATGTGTCTGAATATAGATTGTCATTCAGGAAGGTAAATGGACGATTACGACAATGACGGCGAAAAATTAGATGATTAAATAGTTCAACCAGATCGATGGTTCTGATGAATTAGTAAAAAGACGTTTATCTATTAATATACTACTATAAGAAAACGCCATCTAATTCATCATTGCGTCTATTCAGTTCAATATGAACAAATCTTAATGAGATGCCTAACTAAAACGACCTAAAGGATATATACAGTTGTTAGATTGAAAAAGCAGACAAGATTACTGACGCCAAATAACTACCTAGCAACATTAATAAGTGAGAACAATTCATCAGTAATACAAGACAATTTATTGATTTTGTCTCAAGAAGTGACTGTACATGTGGATGATGAAAAAAGTGGCTTTATACCCCATCAACGTAAACTACGTTCTGCCACAAGTTATGCAACAGCGTTTTCAAGTTTATGTCGGTGACTGTAAACTAAAGCAGCCTAAAACGAAACTACCTAGTAAAGACCTTGACAAATCTTAATCGACCAATCAAATTCATCCAAAGCAGATGTGCGTATTTTGAAAAAGACGTCTATACATAAGTAATGTGAAGTTAAAAAGTGGTTATGTAAAATAACTTCTCTGAATATATGTTTCAAGAAAACCTGCTAATTTCTCATACGAGTCCTCATGTCTAAGTTTAACCAATTTCTGTACATAAATACGTTGGGATAACTGTAAACCATCTTGTTACTTGACTCATTCATGGCTTTGATCCTCTTTTAAAGGTGACTCTATAAACTCTCCACAGAATTTGTGAGGGTGTCATCGATAAGATTAGCGGAATCGTTCGTATTATTGACCATGTTATAAATATAGTCCACAGATGACAGTTGAATTATAGACTAGATCTGGATGAAATTCCGTACATAATTCATCTGCACCACCCATAATTCCGTCTGGATACTACGGGCTCTTATGATTGGTTGCTTAAGATCATTGATCCGTTCATTAGGTAGTTTAGGCTTGGACTGCTATTGTTTACAGTCACACACTCCTAAAGAGCACCTAAGAGTATCAGTGAACAGAACGTTTAAAACTTCTACCTCCACGCTTGGTACTGTTTATTTGTATGTCTTAAAGCAAATGGCTTAATAAGGGATACACCGAAACAACCTGACGGTAATATATGAGTGTAACTGTGATTAGTGTCGAAATATTATGCCTAGTTTTCACAAAAGCTTCGTTTACATTCTAGCAATACATCAAGAGTAATATTATTGATAAAAATTAACTAAGGTGTCTATACTTAATGAGTCTTGTTCATATCTAATATTATGAGCAGTTAGAGGTAGTTGACAGAAAGTCCTGAACTTAGGCTTTGCGCTTAATATAGGCTTAAAAGAATTTGATTTAAATGGCCTTCACTTGATAAGCTAAAACAGTTAACAACCAATAGGTTTCAGAGGTCATGGGTGGAGGGAAATACAAATACCACTGTACTGTAAAACAAAATGGAATATTTTGGGAAAAATAAAGTGTGTATATAACAATACTACATTGATTGGTCGTCACTAGCGTATAAGAGATATCACGGGTCTAAGCTATTTCAGGTTTGGTTGTAACGTCTCTGCATGCAGAGCCGGGAGACGTTGGAGTATTACTTCTCTAAAGGTTGCAGATTCATCTTTCTGACAAGTGACGATAAGCGCAAAGCTTAAGTTCAGGACTTTCTGTCAACTACCTCTAACTGCTCATAATATTAGATATGAACAAGACTCATTAAGTATAGACACCTTAGTTAATTTTTATCAATAATATTACTCTTGATGTATTGCTAGAATGTAAACGAAGCTTTTGTGAAAACTAGGCATAATATTTCGACACTAATCACAGTTACACTCATATATTACCGTCAGGTTGTTTCGGTGTATCCCTTATTAAGCCATTTGCTTTAAGACATACAAATAAACAGTACCAAGCGTGGAGGTAGAAGTTTTAAACGTTCTGTTCACTGATACTCTTAGGTGCTCTTTAGGAGTGTGTGACTGTAAACAATAGCAGTCCAAGCCTAAACTACCTAATGAACGGATCAATGATCTTAAGCAACCAATCATAAGAGCCCGTAGTATCCAGACGGAATTATGGGTGGTGCAGATGAATTATGTACGGAATTTCATCCAGATCTAGTCTATAATTCAACTGTCATCTGTGGACTATATTTATAACATGGTCAATAATACGAACAATTCCGCTAATCCTTTCAATGGCACTCACACAAATTCCGTATAAAGTTTCTAGAGTCACCTAAAAAAAGGATTAGAGTCGTGAGTGAGTCCCAACGTATTTATGTACAGAAGTTGGTTAAACCTAACTATGAGGACTCGTATGAGAAATTAGCAGGTTTTCTTGAAACATATATACAGGGAAGTTATCTTATGTGATCACTTTTCAACGTCACGTTGCCTATGCATAGAAGTCTTTTTCAAATTTCGCAGTTCTGCTTCGGATACATTTGATTGATCGATTGTGACTTGTCAAGGTCTTTACTAGATAGTTTCGTTTTGGGATGCTATAGTCCAGAGTCACCAAATTGTCTTGTATTACTGACGAAATTGTTCTGACTTATTAATGTTGCTAGGTAGTTATTTGGCCTCAGTAATCTTGTCTCCTTTTCCAAACTAACAGCTTTTTATATCCTTCAGCTTTTGTTAGTTAAGCATCTCATTATGACTTGTTCTTATTGGGCTAAATAGAAACACTGATCGTGTTGTGGTACCTGTAGATGTGAATAGTGATTAGGACAGTAGGCTCGTAAGTTTACTGGTTAAGAAGTTCATCAGTGCAAGAAACTCAAAAACGATTAGGCTGTATTTAATGGTCATGTCATATATTTAATATGAAGCATACATATAATATTAAGTGGAGATTACTCACCTTATTGGTCGGCGAGTTATATACCGTGTTCCATCTGGACGTTTCTTAACTATCCATTCCATCATATTCCAATTTTCCATTGAATAAATTTGTCCAGATTGAGGTAAACCACTAGTAGAGGATATAATATTCTGAGCATACTGTTTAGAAGGACATATTTGATGAGGATAGATTAGAGGATTATTAGTAATATAATCTAAATAACCAATTGAATATAAATATGGATCAAGGTGTTTAGCCTGATGCATCTGTGAACCAGACACATTGTTAACATTGTTCATCATAGATGAAGGCATCTGAGAATCAACTGGAATTGAAGCATTTCTATTATCCAAAGACCAATTAGTAGTAGACTTTGACTGTAAATTTATAAACTCTCCAGGTCTATTCATACCTGACATTGATGCTGAAGGATTACTTGGTATATTATTAGATGGGTATTGTTCATTCACTGGTTCATCGTTTATTGTTACAGAAGCGTAGGGTGTTTCATAGATATCTGAAAGACTCGGTTCTTCATTCTAAAAATATAAAATCAAAAAAGGAAAATAATTATAAAATAAATAGTAGTATGTTCATATCATCCTAAGTTGTAATTTATTTATTTAATTAGATTGTTTATAAATGATTAAAGAATTCGGAAACGCTCGAATCCGGTTCATAAATTTCACTGTGATTACTGTAGCACGCTTGATATCTAAAAATGTGTGTGGTAATCGTCATGGGTAATACCCAACTGCCTCGATGAATGAACGAGACATGTATCATAATCTTGATTTGTAAATTATTCGAAAAGAGGAACTACTTTCTGACTGCTTCGCAATAATTTATGCATGTCATAGAGTATACTTTGCCATGAGTTTAATAGTCTTTAGAAGGTTATTTTTAATTTCCTTCGGCTCACTTTTTTACATATGTTGTGTATGGCTCTATCATTGGAATTCAGGATGCGCATATCGCCCTATCTAGGACTCGTCAGCTGAGTGTGCCCAGTACCCGTCACTTCACTAGGTCATCTGGGTCCTAAATGGGAGCACTATCACTCATTAGGCATTGCAGGCACATCTACCAGCTGACGAATTCCAGATAGGATTAAATGAGAACTTGTGGGTACCGCTATTAACCACTATCATCCACCGAATAAAACATCGCGTTGATCCTCAGAGATCATTGAAACATCCATACTAGAAGTTGACATGACAATGGAGACTGAACATTTCAGTCCAGTAGGATCAATCAACAGGAACCAAAAAAAATTTGGGATTATCCAATCTCTCATGAACTACAGCCGATGTTTCTCTTATCCTATATTCCCGTGAAACAGCAGTTCACCTGGATCTTTGGAAAAATATTATTCAATAACAGTAGTCATCTGATGTCAAATCGAGCGAGAATCGGGAAGGCGACAAACACAATCTGGAGATCTTCGTCACACAACTCAGTATCAACAACAAAATCCAGTCGGATTTTCAATACAAACAACGTCAAGTCAGTCAGTCAGTTCTATACGGATGAGTAACTTGGCGGCGGGTCACAAGAAATATTTCCAACAGCCTGTTGCAGACCGTTATCAACCAACAACTGTCTTCGCTGGATCTATACTGAAGATCAATTAGATGGCCGGGCCGGAAAGAATCACCAACAAGAAACCAAACTATGGGAAGAAACAAACGAAACAAGAACCAATCGCCACCCAACAAATATGCAGGAGAAAGTGGAGACGGATTGGACACTCGTCGCTGAGGAGGCCAACGCTGGGTGACATCACGCGCGCGTCAGGTCATTTCTCGAGTGGAACCAGGCCAAAAGGGAAGCGGCGAGTAGGTCGTCGGTGCAAGGGTGACATGGAGGAGATGGTGTGAAGAGGAGTTGAAAGAGTATGGACTAACATGGATTCAGGTACAGCAAGTACAGCAGAAGGAATACAGAAGTGGCAAGTGGAGACGTTCAGTTGAAGCCCTATGTTCCATTAGGAATCCAAGAGAACAATAATAAATCTGATAAATTACTAGTCAGCATATATTCATATTTTCAGACAGTAAGTAGTATATTATATCACTTGACATTAAATAATAATTCTAGTCAGTGTATGCATGAATTTATCTACGCGCCTTCAAAATATGCCTCCAGATAAACAAATAAGGATAAGTGAATATTGAAAAATGCATTCAAATTCTTTAGTTTTGTTCTCTTCCTTCCTTCGCCTCGCCTCGTCTCTCCCTTCCCACACCCCCACAACCACCTATCTCACTCTTCAAGTCTACAAAGCATAAATGATTCAAATTTTAGTAAAATGTCAAGTTTATAAATCATTTATCTTGCAGTCTATTTATTTTATAAAATGAATAATAATAATGATAATAATAATTTGAATTCATAAAGGAGATTAATTTAAGCCATGTTGAATATGCTGCTTAGAATAAAGATTTTTAGACTGTTCTCGGTGAGAGGTGGGAAAGGGTTTATTTTGTTTTCCACATGAATTATAACATGAATAAATGGTTCCGCTACATACTATAAGTTTCCACTACAAGATCAAGTGAGTTCGAATATTCAAGTATTGGTTTGTAGGGATTTGGTTGATTTGTTACAGGATTTTATCATTAGCCGACATTAGTTAGAGAACCATAGGAAAACCTGGGAGTACTGGACAACCGTTTCGTCATAGTTCGGGACTCTCTAGCAGTATGCACTCACCACAGGACCTTCTGGTTACAGGGCGAGTGCGTAGACCATTGAGCCACTGGAACCCGATTCAATGGTCTTTGAATTCTAACTTCTGCCAATTCACGATACAGCGCGACCGCTAGCCAATGTCTTCGACGAGTATTTGTTCTCATACCCGACCTGCTCTAATCAACCAAATCCCTACAAACCAATACTTGAATATTAATTAGATGCTGGCTGGTTACTGGCCCTATTCAGGTCGGTAGTCACCTGGGGTTCTAGTGAGAAGTTGTGACCAGAAGAGTGCAGCAGGTCGGGTATGAGAGCAAATACTCGACGAAGGCATTGGCTAGCAGTCGCGCTGTATCGTGAATGGGCAGAAGTTAGAATTTGTGGACTGGCCATTGGATCGGGTCCCAGGGGCTAAAGGGTCTACGAGCTCTCTAGTCTTGTAACCAGAAGGTCCTGGGTTCGAACCTTGTAGGTGGGTGTGTGCAGATGAAGAGTCCCAAACTAGTCTGAAGAAACAGCTATTCAGTACTCCCAGGTTTTTCAATGGTTCTCTAACCGATGTCAGCTCATGAGTTCGAATAGTTCAGTGGTACTATCCTTGGCTAAGGCGCTGAATGTCCCAGAGGGTATCAGCTCACTCAAGGTGATAAATACGTCTTACTGACAAACGCTAGCAGGCATGCAACCCAGGCGATGGGCATTCCGTCAGTTGTTTGAAAAGTGCATTGCACTGATGAGTCTCTTTGACTGATAACCATATTGTAAACCTGAGTGAAAGAAATACCGTAACAGTGATTATTCTCTAGTGACAAACGATATTATCGACTGTTGGTTTGCAGGGATTTGATTGGATACAGGTTTGATCATGAGTTGATATCAGTAAGACCACCATTGAAAAACTTGGAAGTACTGGACAGCCGACTGTTTCGTCCGAGTCCAGCAATCTTCATCAGTATGCACCTCATGGGATTCGAACCTAAGACCCTCTGGTTACAAGGAGAGCTCGTAGACCATTCAGCCATTCAGGGAGCTGAATCGACGCACCGTGTATTCCCAGGTTTTCCAAAGGGTTCTCTAACTGATGTCAGCTCATGTTCAAGCCTGTGGTAAATCATTATGGCACTTACCATATTTAAGTTAGTAGTACATAAGAAAAGATACTATTATTGTTATCAACAGTTAAATGACGTTAGCGTATGATTGTAGAATATGACCATGTAATATTTTTCTACTCTTATGTAGTGTGAATGGAAGGTGAATATAAATGTCTTTAACAAATTATTCGTTTTCAAGGAAGTCTGTAAAAATGAGATTTCATAACATACTTGTCAGTTACAGTGGTAACACAGTAATAGCTATGCAGATTAATTTCATTAGTTTTAAAAAAGCTGGAGAGAAAGAAGCCAATTTCACTTCATGACTTCTTCTCCTTTATTAACAGGGTAAAAGTCACGCACTCTGTGGAGAAGCGTCCAGATCAACATTAAAGATAGCGAAGACGTTACTAGGGATGGTTAGGAAAACAACCGTCGATTCTCACAGTTTGTTCACATGATGAGAGATGTTCATTATTTTGAAATATAACAGTTAAAGCGGATTTCGTCATTGATCTAAAGCCTGGGGATTAATTCACGGGAATTAGTGTTGGTTGGTGTAGTCTGCCATATACCATGGGACGACAAATAGTCATCAATAAAATTGGATGATAGTGGCGTTAACACGTGAACTGACGGAGGTTGGAACTCGTGGATCATGATGGTATGCTTGCCTTGTGACCAGAACGCCTTACCCCATCCATAATTGTGTCATATATGCCAACTTTTGTAAATTTCCAAAGAAGGACACATCATCTCCCTGGAGGTCCATGGCTCCTATTCGTTCTCTGGCTGATATGCGATGTTGTTGTAATCCAATGTGATGTGAGGTTTCACTCTGATTACCATTAACTTAATCAGTTAGTTAATCGTTTCGACGAACTGAAAGTTATCCATCCCGTTCACAGGATATACACGTAAATGAACATTCAGACATTTGACATTTGCTTTCAATTTTTAGTTTATAGGGAACTGATTGATTTCAAATTTTTTTCACGAACAACTAAAAGCCAGGGTTTACTGGGCATCTGTTTCGGCCTACTTTAATGACACTTCAGTAGTGCACTCCTATTACCTAACTAAGAATCGAAATCAGGACCTTCAAGTTACAAGATGAACCCGTCGACCACTCAGATTTTGGAAGGGAATCCGTTGACTGGTTTCTGAATCATCACTTTTAACAATTCGCGATACGTAGTATATATAACCTCTAAATGTCTGTCTGGATTCAACATAGAACTTGGCACCGAAGAGCAGCAGTTCGAGATGCCACGTTTCAAATAGAACACAAAGGTAGACAAGAAGATGAGTGAAGAGAATTAATAGAGTTTCACAAGTATAAGAGTGAAACAGAATGGGTAATGGTAGAAAGAAGTATGAAAGATTACACAGAGTGAATACATCTGCGCTGGCCATTGACAACGATTTTGAGCCATGTCACCTGTTGTCTCCAGCCATTGATTCTTAGAGTCCCGAGGGCCCAACCCGGAAGTCTGCATCTCCCTACCTGACCGACTCAGTTTAACTACTGTCAAGGATTTCATGGATTGATGAGGCCATGTTTTTGTTTGGCCACCACTGGCTCTTTTCCAACCTGAACCTATATCAGCTATTAATGCCCGTCGGGGGAGGCGGTGGTTAGGCATGCGCAGCACGTGACCTAGCCATCTCAATCTATGTAACTTTATAGCCTCGTCGATCGATTTTCCCTGTTTGCCCAACACTCTACGCCTAACGTCAACATTACT